TAGTTAGTCTATATAAAGTCCTCAAACAATAAAATTAAAGTAATCCGCACAAAAATGTTAGCCCCAGCATTCATCTTTAGAATTTTTCTAATATTCACACTATCTATAAAAGTAGGAAACAATAGCATTATCTTAAATATTTTTTTAGGTAACAAACTTTAGTTACTTTCGTTTACAGTTATATGGCGGCAGTGTAATTGTAATAAAAGGCGTACAATGTCAAGCACACGATCCGGACTTCGTTAAATTCGACCCCTGTAAATTATTTTTCAATTCACGGAAAATATCAAGTATTTCGATAACTGCACATCTTCTTCAGATACCCATACGTAAGTGTAATGTTGGAATACTTGTTGGATTTGCTACCGGCAATAAATTACCTCTGATCAATGGAACCTGGGAGGCTTGTGGGTTTTTTAAAAATCAACGTAAAAATTTGGCTTTTAATCGGTTATTTAATTATATTGCTCCATATACCAATATAAACCATTCCTGTCCGTATAATGTGAGTATTTGGTATAAGTGCAATATGTTTTGGGAATTATTTTTTCTTCGTATTGCAGCACGATGTGTTTCTTAAAAATTTTACTTTCTACGACCAGAAACCTTTTATGCCTTTACCTAATTCTGCCTATAAGATATTATTGACTTTCATGATAGGTGGAAGAAATCGCGCCTCCGTCGAGGTCAGAGTTAATTTGGAGAATTAGCCTTAGATTATGTGTATGTACGTTTTATAAAGAAACTCTTAGACTAATCGACTTTGTATTGAAGAAATAAAGGCATAAATCGACGTTATGATTTCTTTATTGCTGAAAACCTAAAATTCCAACATATGGGTCCCACCAACGATGTACAATCTATACTAATAAAAGAGTAAAGGGATTCACTGATTGACTGACTGATTTAACGATTAATCAACGCCCAGACGAAACGGCTGAAGCTAGAATCTAGAGAGAGTCACTCTTGGTCCAAAGATGACAGATTAGGCTGGGTTTTTGGAAATTCGTACTAGAATGGTACGAAAAAGTACTAAATGTGATAACATTTGTATTTGGCGAACCGGTAGAGCTCGAACTCTTAAATTTTAAACGAGGGTCACTGATGAAGTGTACAAGAGATATAGCAAAGAGCTTTTTGGACATTCGAACTATAAGTATGCGAATAGTACTAAAATGTACTAAATTTGTTACAATTTCGTAGCATTTGAATGGATAGAGCTCAAAAAACTTAAAATTTGGAATGCGAATTAGGGTTGAAGTGTAGGGTCTATTTAAGGAGATGGTTTTGAAAGCGTGTACTCATATGTACGAAAAGTACTAAACGTTACTAAATTTGGTACAATTTGAATTTGGAGGAACGGATGCAGCTTGAATCCTGAAATTTGAAATTAACATTACCGTCGGATTGGGTTATGTACGTAGCTTTGGAATTGTTTTACTTATGTGTACGAAAAGTACTACATCGTAATATAATTGTTACAATTTGGATTTGGGTGCACCGATAGAGCGGGAACAATGAAATTTGGAGTCAGAATCATTATAGAGATGTAGGATTAGGGACAGGATTCATTTGAAGACATTAATTTGGAGTCAGGATCACTGTTGAGGTGTAAGATTGAGATATGTAGGAAATTTTAGAAATTTGAAATGTGTACTGAATTTGGTACAATTTTAATTGTAAGTGAAGCGATAGAGTTGGAATCCTGAAACTTGGTTTTAGGATCACTGTGGGAGTTAACGTTTGGGTTAAGAAGGGAAGTTTTGGAAATTCGTACTATGTGTACTAAATTTGGTACAATTTAAATTGTGGGTGAAGCGATAGACTTGGAATCCTGAAACTTGGTTTTAGGATCACTGTGGGGGGAGTATGTTTGGGTTAAGTAGGGAGTTTTGGAAATTCGTACTACTGTGTACTAAATTTGATGCTATTTGGATTTGGTTGAACCGATAAGTCTGGAATCCTGAAACATGGATTTAGGCAGGGTGCGAAGAATGATTAAAATACACTCTTTCTCTTTTCAATTTATCCCGAACGACAAAGTTAGAATGAATGCCCAAGTATTTGCCGTCTCTCGCGAATTTTCGCATTGTACGAAAAATTCACGAACGATAAAATTTCGCTGTAAGCGTCGTCGATTCATTCTTTCGCGAGCATTCTTTGCTGAAGAATATTCTTTTGCGTGGTTTTACATTTGCCGGGATCGGGATCGGTGTTGAGAGTTTCTCTCTCTTAAGAGAGAGTAATTAGAGTTGCGATATTTTTAATTTTGTAACAAGCGTACATTTTGTTCACAAAAGGTACGAATTGACATAAACGTACCAAAACAAAAATTAGATTTTTTATTTACGCTTAAATTATAACATACATTACTTATGCAAACACAGACACAAAGTGTGTGAGAGTAACTCTTGCTCTCTCGAAAAACTTCGTCTGCAATAATACATGCTACGATCAAAATCATGAAAACAAGCGATAACACAACCATCTTCATTGCCAGCTGAAACGAGACAGATCGGGGGTTGTTTTCTTTCACGAACGTTTGTTGTTGTTGTTGTAACAGCCCTATTGCTTTTACACAATGGGCTGAGGTGACAGACGTTGGCCGAGAAAGACTCGGGTCGTTTCGGATCGTAGACCCCTCTGTCGTGACGAACGTTTGTTGTTATTGTTGTTGCCGTTTTGAGCATTCTCGAGAATTCGGGAATGTTTGTTTTCATTCGTGAGAGATTGTCAGAAAAAATTTCAACCACCAAACGAAACGAACGAACGTTGCTGTGTGCTCTCATTCTTTTGTAATGTGTGTGCGAACATTCTTTTGGCGATGCATTTTTAATCATTCGCGAGCGAATTTTTGCGCACCCTGGATTTAGGGTCACTATGGGGGGAGTATGGTTGGGTTAAATAGGGAGTTTTGGAACGTACTACTGTGTACTAAATTTGATACTATTTGGATTTGGTTGATAAGTCTGAAATCCTGAAATTGTGGAAATAAGCTTTTCATGAGGTGTAAGGTAATGGAAAGCAATGGAAATGAAATCGGTTATATGATTTCTGTTGGATGGTTGAGGCGGGTACTTATGGAAAATTATATGAATGTGTGTTAAATGGAACTAAATTTGGTAAAATTTGGATTTAGGTGAACCTTTAGAGCTCGAATCATGAAATGAAATGGTACTCAAATTTCATTTTTCCGACATATTCAGTATTTTGTGAAAATAACATAACATGTTAATACATGTTTAAATTATAGTTTTTTGTCTGAGGTTGCTTTTTTAGCATTACCTTACAATTAAGATTTTGTCTAATTCATGATTTCAATTGGATTGCATGATGTAGGTAGTAATGGAAATTTGTACTTATGTGTTCTGTGTGGTACTAAATGTTTATACAAATAGGATTTTGGTGAAACGATAGAATCCTGAAATTTGGAATTAAGATTGGGGTATGTGGGAAGGGTTGTAAATTCGTACTTATGATTGTTAAAGTAGTTAGTTATGGAAATGTATATTAATGTATACTAACTGATACTTTATTTGGATTTGGGTGAACCTATATTTGAAATTTTTTGAAAAAAAATATTATAAGAGTACAAAGGGTAAAAAATGACACCAAATTTTGATTTCTGTTGCGGTCTGAATGGGTGTGCAGGGTTGAGATGTAAAGGTAGATTTGAAAAACATACTATAGGAGAACATATGTACTAAATGGTTCTAAAATTTTAAAAATGGTCGGTATAAGGTTTTAAATACATCCTACATTCGCTAAAGAAGTAGCGGGTATATGCTAGTATAGGGATACGTGGTCGGTCGTAAAAGTCGTCTTTTTGACTTTTCGATTTTTGCCTTTGACTCAAAAGTCCGCTTTTCGATCTTTCGATTTGGTCAAGACTGTACAAAATCGATTTTCCACTTTTACTTATGCAAAATTGATTAAAAATGTGATTTTTAATATGAATTTATGATAAATTAATAAAAGATAAAGTAAATTTCTGAAAAGTGTAATTTTTGGGCAATTTGGGTTTTGTGATAATAAACCAAGTATTTATGATTATAGCTGATAAGTTAACAAATGAAGAAAATTCTTACGATTTTAATTTTTCAAGATTTTCAATGGGCTGGTAAATCAATACCAATGCAACTTTGCACATATATATTTGAAGATTTAAAAGAGAGGAAAAATAATTTACAAAAAGAAAATTGTTATTGTTTTGTTGCTGTTTTTTGTAATTAAAAAAAAAGTTCTTATTTTTATGGCGGTGTTGGAAAGAGTACATGTCTGGCTCTCATATGAACTAGGAATATTGACTTCGCTCTAAAATTAATAAAATGGCGGACCTTTGAAAAAAATATTTTTGGAAAATCTCCGATTTTTGACCAAAAACCAAGTTAAGAAAATAAAAACCATAAAAAATAAGGACATTTCTTTAATTACAAAAAACAACAACAACACAATAACAAAAATTTTTTGTAAATTATTTTTCTTCTCTTTTAAATCTTCAAAGGGTGGGTTTCCCTTAAAGTTTGAGAAGCCCTTTAGTCGTCACTTGATGCTGACACAATACATCGGATATATCTTCAAGAGTTCTTGAGATTTTCACTTGAAATTTTGTAGGGACATTCATTAATTAGTGTAGATTCGAATTATATCAAACATTTTTTTTGACCCCGAGAATGGGGGGTCCCCTTAAACAAACAATAATCAAACAAAAAGTCAATTTCGAATTTTTCTGTAGTTACGTCCGTTTGCATTTATGATGACGATATAGACCCCATATACAGGTCTCGACCAATTTTATATATTTTAAATGTCTAACTCATATTATCAGAACCTACCGAACTTGACGACATGTTTACTATTTTTACTTGTAGTTATTGCAAAACTTTTAAATGTGAGTTGGCAGTGGTTTGTAGATTCATAACTAGTTAAATTTTAACGAATTCTAACAATTTGTTTATTAAACATCAAAACAGATCACCTCAAACATTTATGGCTGTAATTTAGTAACGTTTACGATAGACACGACGACGTTGAGTCTTGTAACGGTAGCCATCATCAGCCAATTCAACAGTGGGTTCAGGGGCAGAAGCAGCTGCTGGTGGGATATAAGTATTGACGGGAGCAGATGCAGCTACGGGAGGAACATAAGTGTTGACAGGTTCAGAGGCAGCTACTGGAGGAATGTAGGTATTAACTGGGGCCGAAGGAGCTGGAGCAGGATAATCATAACCTGACGACAATTCGGAAACATCAGCCATAACGGCGGCAAACAAAGCCAAAATGACAATAAGGAATTTCTAAGGGATAACAAGACCGAATAAATTTTATATCTTAACTGGAATTATCTAAAATATCACTTACCATTTTGAAAATTTTTTTTAATAGGATGTTGTTTGTTAAACACTTAAAAAATTTGTGATATAAGTTTTCATTTATATGTTTACTATTTATAGAATATTTTTATTTTAATTTAATTTTTTTTTTTCAAATATATATTTCATATGATTCGGTGACAAATGCAAATAACAATCAGAAATGATTAATTTCTTCTTGTTTGTATTTCTTTAAACCGAAAATTAAAACTTTAGTCGACAAATTTGGAACATAATAAATAAAAAACAATGAACTGTTGTTGTTATAGTTATTGAAATATTTCCTTGTTTCGCTTTTGTTGTGGGGTGGCACTGCATTTCGGTCATTTATGGACAAAGCAAATCACTTTAGTTTGTCTCATTTTTATTGAAATAAGATGAAAGGTCTTATTTTAAAACAAATAATATTTCAAATATAGCGTGACCTAGTTTCTATTTTTAAAAAAATAAAGTGAATCAATTTGCTGAACTTTATTTGCTTAGAAAATTTTGTATAAAAACATTAACTTTTTTGGCAAAATATCATCAAAATTATTTCAGTGGTTATTCAAAAGACATCAATCTTAAAAAATGGTAAATTAATAACAAATAATTAATAAAATAATTAATACAACAAAATAGTATGTTTATCTCCTGTTGACTTATAGAAATTCTTCCTTGTAACTTTGGCTTTGGTTGCCGCCGTTATGGCTGATGTCTCCGAATTGTCATCGGGTTATGATTATCCTGCCCCAGCTCCATCGGCCCCCGTCAATACCTATATTCCTCCTGTGGCTGCTTCGGAACCCGTTCAAACTTATATCCCACCCGTAGCCGCTTCTGCCCCTGAACCCGTCAACACTTATATTCCCCCCGTAGCTGCTTCGGAACCTGTTAACACTTATATCCCTCCTGTAGCTGCTTCTGCCCCTGAACCAACTGTTGAAGTAAGTCAAGATGGTTACCGTTACAAGACCCACCGTCGTCGTGTCTACCGTAAACGTGCCTAAGTCAATTTGTTATATCACTTGTTGTGTTTTGTTTAAAATAAATGTTATTGTTTTGTGAAAAAATATTAATAGCTATTAATTTTTGTAATTCGGGACAATTGGGTTCCCTTTTTTAATACACACAAAATTGAATCAGTAATACTATTTAAAAATACAATTATTGGGTCAGAATAAGATTCTTTGTCTATGTAGAATTCGCAGTATTTTAATAGAGCTTTGAAATTTTGAACAAAAAAATTCTATATAGTATTGACAAGATTTTGTTAATTTTATATTTTGGGGTTTCATAGGTGCAAATTTTTGCACCTGGGCCGCCCCCCTGCGTACGTCCCTGATCTGATGAACACCGAAATTTGTTGGTTTTTTCCTTGACCATAACGTGAACTTCCTTTAAAATTTCATAGGGATTTATCTTAGTATAACACCAAGTACATACAACAATATAATTGGTGTTAATTTAAAGGTCATCCAATCCTCTTGGATTTGTGTCCTCTAGGAGTTAGTGTATACACAATCGAATGCAATTTTTTTCACTTTTCACACAAAAGTCTGGGTCCTAAATATTGACCGATCTTCATCAAAATATTCATGCTAATTCTATGGTCAGACTCCTTTCTCTATAAAATTCCGTGATGTTCGGATCATAATTGTGGCCTCTAGAGTGACCAAAAAAACAGACAAAAATTAAGTTGTTGGTCCATTTCAGCCCCTAAATATTAACAGATCATTACCAAAAACAATAGAGGTCTTCTTTGGCCAGAACCCATCCATCATCCAAAATTTCGTGATGATTGGTCTATAATTGTGGCCTGTATCGTGTTTACAAACTAGTCGTGATATCATCGGTAAACTTAAAGGTGTGTCTATCGCCAATATTTCGCGGCGTTACAAACTCTTGGGGCTGCTTTAATACCTGACAACATAGTTGTGTAGGGTATAAATATTAATGTGTAAAATATTACACAATATTGTGGAGGAGGTACCAGAAGTTGTGGAACGATGGGTCCCCCCACCGTCGCCTCATGTCGGACCATGACCTACAAATTCGTATCTTTGCTCATTGGTATCGGATCATTTTGAGTGAGGAAGTCCATTTCCATATAACAATCGGAATTGTCGAATCTGGAAATAGGAAATCTCAAGATTTATTCTTAAGAAATATCTCCATTCTTAACGTGTTACTGTTTTGTGCGGCACTTGCAGTTCACTGTTGAAGACTAATAATAGAATTTCAATTGTAATATTTCACATTAACATAACATTTTTATTATCAAATCAACAAAACAATTTTTTGGCAATATTTCCATTTAGAAACGTTTACGATAGACACGACGACGTTGGGTCTTGTAACGGTAACCATCATCAGCCAATTCAACAGTGGGTTGAGGGGCAGAAGCAGCTGCGGGAGGGATGTAAGTGTTGACGGGCTCGGAGGCAGCTACGGGTGGGATGTAGGTGTTGACGGGTTCAGGGGCCGAAGCAGCTACGGGTGGGATATAGGTGTTGACGGGTTCAGGGGCAGAGGCAGCCACGGGAGGAATGTAGGTGTTGACGGGAGCTGAAGGAGCTGGGGCATGATAATCATAACCCGACGACAATTCGGAGACATCAGCCATAACGGCAGCAACCAAAGCCAAGGTAACAATGAAGAATTTCTAAATATATATTCAAAAAGAGATATTTTAAAAATTTGTCATATTTTTTTAAACCCTTTAAATGTCTTACCATTTTGAAATGTTTTCTTTAGATGTTTTTGGAAGAACACTTTATGAATTTGTGATATAGAATTTTTCTAATAGTCTGCCTATTTATATTAATGCACGGCTGATTTTTTTGTATTTGAACTTTGTCTGACAGTCGATATTTTTTATGGAAATGCAAATTTTCTTTTAATAATGATTAATAGTTTGTAGTATGTCCAGTTTTATTGCAATCTTAATTTAATTAGTAGGCTATAGAATGTGATCTATTGTTTTTTTTTCCATACACAATGATTGCAGAATTTGTGATTTTCTTTAAGTTAGCTTTGATGTTTCCTAGTCTGACTTCGTTGTTTCAGCTACTGCATCTTAACCATTAAACAAAACAAAAACTCATCAAACACCTTTAGTGTTTTTTGATTTTCATTTGAATAAAGTGAAAGGTAAATTAGCAGTGGCGGCATAATTTAAATCAAACATTGAAATGTCTATTTTCGGATCCAACTAGAAGTTTCGTTTAGTTTATGTTATAATTGTTAAATAGAAATAATATATTATAAAATTTAAATTCCAAATTCCTATAAAAACTTCAATAATTTGGGTAAAATATTATCAAACATTTTCCAGAAGTTGTGCAATAAACATTAAACACTACATAAAATCAATAAAATGGTAAGATTTAATAAAAAAAATATATATTTTTATTTAGAAATCTGAGCAAATATTCACATTTTGTTTGCAGAAATTCCTTATTGTAACTTTGGCTTTGGTTGCTGCCGTTATGGCTGATGTCTCCGAATTGTCGTCGGGTTATGATTATCACGCCCCAGCTCCTTCAGCTCCAGTCAACACCTATATCCCACCCGTAGCTGCTTCGGCCCCTGAACCCGTCAACACCTACATTCCTCCCGTAGCTGCCTCTGAGCCCGTCAACACTTACATCCCTCCTGCAGCTGCTTCTGCTCCTCAACCCACTGTTGAATTGGCTGATGATGGTTACCGTTACAAGACCCAACGTCGTCGTGTCTACCGTAAACGTTTCTAAATTGAAAAGCCCATTGGAATATGTTTTGTTGAATCGTTAATAAATGTTATATTTATGTGATAATTGTGAACATGTTTTTAATTGCCTTATTAGCGGTCAAAAGGTCCTCTGAGGCATATTTTCGGAATCATGTTTTCCCGGAGGCCAAAAAATAATCCATAAGCTTCAAAAATTTTTTTTACACAAAAAATGTTTTGTTTCATTTGACACGGTTAAACGCTTTAAATTAGATCGGAAATTTGTGATGTTCGGCTTGTAATAGAAAACAAGACAGAAATAAAGTTGTAGCTACATTTTACCCCGAAATATAATCTGACCATCATCGAAAATTATCTCAATTAATCATCGAAAATTATCGCAAACAATAGTATGAGTCCATTTGACCCGCTAAATATCGACCGATAGTCAAGAAAACATTCATGCTTATTCTATCGTCAGACTCCTTTCTCAGCGGAAAATGTTATGATGTTAGGAACAGAAAATCAGACAAAAATAAAGTTTTCATATCCTAAATATTAACCGATCATTCCCAAAAACAACCAGGGTCTCCTTCGGCCAGAACCCGTTCTACATAGAAAATTTCGTGACGAATGGTTCATAATTGTGGCCTATATCGAGTTTACAAATTATAATGGACAGACGGGCGGAATGGCGATATATGACGATCGGTATACTAAAGGTGGGTCTAGAACATTTCCGGCGTTACAAACTCTTGGGGCTACACAAAAGCTATAATACACATAGTTGTGTAGGGTATAATGCAGCGGGATCTATGTAGGGGAGCTTTGCAAAAAGTTGGTCCACTTTTCAAAATTTTCTGGAATAAAAATTGTTATTCACCAGTATTCCGGAGAACTAAATTTAAGCCAGAGAAATTGGCCAAAAAAAATAAAATATCGACATTCATGTTTGAACGGTGGGTGGGTACAGAATATTCCGGCGATACAAACTCTTGGGGCTACACAAAAGCTATAATACACATATTTGTGTAGGGTATAATTCAGCGGGTTCTATGTAGAGGAGCTTTGCAAAAAGTTGGTCCACTTGTCAAAATTTTCTGAAATAAAAATTGTTATTCACCAGTATTCCGGAGAACTACAGTTAAGCCAGAGAAATCGGCCAAAAACTTAAAATATCCACATTCATGTTTGAACGGCGGGTATGATATCCGACCAATGGACGCCCGATCTCAAAAATTCGAACGTGATTCGAAAGAGTTCACGTTTGATTCTGGTATGAACTAAGATTATTAGAATCCCACAAACATTAACAAAATACCGGAACTATTAAATTAAATAGGGGAAAAAATTCCCTATTTTCGACCAAAAATCTAATTAGAAAATAAGAATGATTTTGACCGATTGTATCCTAGTTCATACGATAGCTATGTATAAAATGGCGTGGTAAAAATTGGGACTGATTGGATTGTAAAATTCCATTTTATGAAACCGGGTGCACTTAAATCGACGCAAAAAGTGATTCTATTAATATATCTTCAAAAATAGGTATGAGCACATATTTACAACTACGCTGTGATTTTAGTGAAAATTCTCGTGGCCTCGAATGTTTGTAACACTTTAAAATGTTAGTCCTATACACACCTTTAAGTATGCTGAATCGGTCTTTAAATATAGCAAGAAGTTCCGTCCATAATTCATAATAATTTTTATTCGGATTTACAAGCCTAACATTCTAACATTTTACACATGGAAGGGGATTTAAGTGCGACGAAGCCATTCAAAATACAGCTGGTGCAAGAATTTGAACCGAATGACCACCCGCAGTTAACCAAAAATCCTCTTTATAAAAGTATGACCAAATTTGGCCTAACCGCAACGCAGAATTTTTGGTCATTGGGCTCTTGGATAAAGCTTTTTTTCCGAATTTGATTTTTATACCCTACACAACTATGTTATCAGGGTATTATAGCTTTGTGCAGCCTAGACCTAGAACCTAGACCCACCTTTAAGTACACCGATCGTCATATCTCGACTATGTGAGTCGATCTAGACATGTTTGTCCGTCCGTCCGTTTGTCCATTATAATTTGTAAACACGATACAGGCCACAGTTATGGACCAATCTTTACGAAATTTTGCATGTGGGATGGGTTCTGGTCAATGAAGACCCCTATTGTTTTTGGTAAAGATCGGTTAATATTTAGGGGATGAAATGGACCAAACACTTAATTTTTTCGGTTTTTCAGGGGCCGCAATTATGGCCAAAACATCTCGAATTTTTACATGGAGAAGGGGATTGGGCCAAAGAATAAGCATGCCTGTGTTGATAAAGATCGGTCAATATTAAGCGGGTCAAATGGACCCTGACTTTTGTGTGAAAAATTACAAAATTTGTATTCTATAGTTTCGTATATATTATACCCATATATAGAAACGTCCGAGTAGTTGATAGTATATATAGTCATATATCTAAGAGGAGTGGTTGACCTTTAAACTGGTACCAATTATATTGTCGTAGGTATTCGGATGTGGGAGTTACACTTAAATATTTACAGGTGATTACGTATTCAGATATTATTTAGAAACCCGTTACCACAATAGAGGGCGAAAATTTAGCCCTGATCGTAGATATGCTCCAATATAATTTTCCATGAGGTTTCACTAAAGTCCCTATATATCCTTCGATTAGCACGAAATTTGGTATAACGTACTGAATAGAGTGATGTATGCCAAGTTTCGAGAAAATCGGTCCAGATTTAGATATACCTCCCTTATACTATAGATTGATTTTAAGTAATTGACGCACCAAGGATCCAATATATGGCTGATAGGAACAAAACTTACTGAAGTTAGTATAACCTAACCTGTGACAAGTTTCGTTGAAATCGGTTCATATTTGGATATAACTTCCATAATATATTAACTAAATTGGACATCAAACTCTTCATGTTAGTCAGATTGACATCAAATTTTGCACAACGTACAAAATTGAGCATAGAATTACGTAGTTATTTTTTTTTCTAGAAGTACCGACATAACCCAAGGGATGACCTATTGATATTTGTTTGAAGTCGATTGATCTAAGTCGTTTCACATTTAGATAAATATCACATATTTTATATACCCATAGTGGTGAAGGGTATCATATAGTCGGCCCCGTCCGACTTTACTACTTTCCTTACTGGTTTACTTTCCTATAGGTCACCTATGGCTCAACATTGTCGCTTTGCCTATTATGTGACATATAATATTTTTTTTTTATTTGGCGAACATGACCGAAGCTTTTTGTTGAAATATTACCATAGTCAACAACTCCCTTTACATGCCGTTTATCAAAATCGATGCCAACCATAAAGCTTTATCGACTCTTAATAATCTAATTTCGTCTAAATAAGTTTATTATTTAAAGCAATTATTTGAGTGCTAAATTTTATCCACCAAAAGTTATCAAAAATCCGCAGCAGAAAACCGACCAAAATTTAAAATAAAGTAAACATTTTTTTCTGTAAACTTATAACATTTATTTAACAATAATTAACAAAAAACAATTATGAAAGTCAAAATATCTCAATCAAAATTTGACTTCAATATTTACAACATAAATTTAAGCACGTTTACGATAGACGCGATGACGTTGGGTCTTGTAACGGTAACCATCTTGGGCCAATTCAACAGTTGGTTCAGGAGCTGAAGCAGCAACGGGAGGAATGTAAGTGTTAACGGGTTCCGAAGCAGCTACGGGAGGAATGTAGGTGTTGACGGGTTCAGGGGCAGAAGCAGCTATAGGGGGAATATAAGTTTTGACAGGTTCAGGGGCAGGAGCAGCTACGGGTGGAATATAAGTCTTAACAGGTTCGGGGGCAGAAGCAGCCACAGGTGGAATGTAGGTGTTAACTGGAGCCGATGGAGCTGGGGCATGATAATCATAACCCGAAGACAATTCGGAGACATCAGCCATAGCGGCAGCAACCAAAGCCAAAGTTACAATAAGGAATTTCTATGATAAAAAAGACAAATTGTATATTCCGTTTTGAAGTAATCCTAAAAATTAACTTACCATTTTGAGAAATAAGTTTTAGTTTTGTAAGATGTTATTTGTTAAACACTTAACGAATTTGTGATATCATTTCGCAAACACCAATTGACTATTTATAGATCAAAATTTCGAAACTGAAAAACATTTAAAATTTGTCAAAAGCGAAAGAGGAAATGATGAATGTCTTCTTCATTTATTAAAACTTAATAGGCAAGTTTATTATTTAATGAAACAAGACTTGGTGCCAAACTAAACCTTAAGCAAGCCATTGATTTATTAATTGGAAATGTATATTTCCTTGTTTTCGTCATGAAGTTCCGATTTTGATATTTTCGATTGTTTGACAACAAAACAAACATCTTCAGTTTCGTTTTTATTTTTATTTAAATCAAGTGAATGCTATTGTTTCATGCATTGTTTAATCAAAAACGGATGTCGCTGGCTTTGTTAAGTATCAAAACATACGTTTTGCGAACATTATTTTATATTATCAATATTGAATTGATAGATTTTGTATAAAAACATCATCTATTTTTGCAAAACAGTATCAAAATTACTACAGTTGTTCAGCAATAAACATCAAACAAACTAAGCAAAATGGTAAATTCTAAATTTGTTTGATTTTAAAGAAATTTTTAAATATTAAAAACTTATTTTTTTACAGAAATTCCTTATTGTAACATTGGCTTTGTTTGCTGTCGCTATGGCTGATGTCTCCGAATTGGCGTCGGGTTATGATTATCATGCCCCAGCTCCATCGGCTCCAGTCAACACCTACATTCCTCCTGTAGCTGCTTCTGCCCCCGAACCCGTTAAGACTTATATCCCCCCTGTAGCTGCTTCTGCCCCTGAACCCGTCAAAACTTATATTGCCCCTGTAGCTGCTTCTGCTCCTGAACCCGTCAACACCTATATTCCTCCCGTAGCCGCTTCGGAACCCGTTAACACTTACATTCCTCCCGTCGCTGCTTCAGCCCCTGAACCAACTGTTGAATTGGCCCAAGATGGTTACCGTTACAAGACCCAACGTCATCGTGTCTATCGTAAACGTGCCTAAATTTGAGATATAAATATTGGAATCAGTTACTGGTTGTGATATTTTAATGATCCAAATTGTTTTTGTTGATTATTGTTAAATACATTTTAAAATTTTATAAGGAATTTTTTTGACTTATTTGGTGATTTTTAAGAGATGCAGGAATGTTTAAAAAAGAAAATTCATATAAAATCCATAAAATTACTTACTTGGGTATTAGAATAACCTTAAAGTGTTTTAAATAAGGTAAAGCTTTATTTGTACTAAATAATAGAAATTCATATAGGTCCTCCTATATTGTTAAAAATGATACCCACATCCTTATGGCTAATGAGGTATACATATATATACTTTGCTAAGACAAAAAAAGAGTCTCATAGAAATATTGGTTTTAGACCTCATGTTCCTTTGGACCACATCCGTTTCAGACAATTTTCTGTTCTTTTAATCCAACTTATGCCTTAAAAGTATTCATTAAAAGACCCACTACATTGAACATATTATTTAGAAAATCGCTTTAAAAAAGTATTCTTCAAAAAATCAAGCCATTTTAAACGTCGACAAATAAAAATCCACGATCAGACATTGAGAAATATTCGTTAAAAAGTTAACGTTTTGCTAAAATTTCACAAAAATTAGCAAAGTGCTGAATTTTTCAAAAATCATACATTTATGTATATCCTATTGGAAAATATTGCATTCCTTTAAAAAAAATGCACCACTTACTAACCCCTGCAAAAATATTCTTTAAAAATTTTAAGTTCTGCTAAGTAATAAAAAGTGTTCTACGAAAAATCCACACTTTGTTAACACTTGATTTCCGAAGGCGGTCATTTTGACCATTTTTTCAATTTCAAGTACAAAAACAAGTGTGTATATTATGACACAGCTTTTTAAAATTTGGTGACTTTTTGTACCACATAGAACTACGTTTATTAATCATAGTTGCTGCTCCCTCCCTCTTTCATTTCCTGTATTCATATGTGCTATACCTATATTGCCTAAAAGCGGTCATTTTGACCTCTTGGGAAATTTTAAATAACCAAATGCCTTTTATTATTGGTTAGATTTCTTTTATGACCAGATTAGTACAACAACATGAAAACCCGTTTTTTACTCTGGACACACAAATCGGCAGAAATCAATTTTATATTTCCAGTCGATTTCACTATTAGAGTAAAAACTTACTCTTTTTCGAACATTTTGACACGCGCTCTTATTTTTCAAAAAGAGAAACTCGTGAGCCCTCCCACCGCAAACAAATAATAACAACTTTTTATATGATTGTAAATAATGTGAAAATTATCAAAAAATAAGTTAAAAAATTTCTTTACATAATAAAAATTCTTTCAGAATGAGGTCATTTTGACCGCTTTTCGGCAATATAGGTATATAAAAAATTCCAGTCTTTCTAGTGTTAAGCATTAAAACATATTGTTGAAAAAATGCACGCAATTATAGTAACTCGAAAATATTATTTAAGACTTTAGAAAAATATTCTTTAAAGAATTCCCGATCTTTTAATCCGTTAACAAATATATCGCTGGCTTAACTTGTAAAGGAAATAAGTCCATTTTTATAGAAATTGAGATTTTGATACAGTTATGTATAATAAGGCAAAACACATCGATTTAAATAACTAAAAATTCAGTTATCTCATTATATCCTTCACCACACTGCGGTACAGGGTATTATGTCTTTGTGGATATGTTTGTAACAGGCAAAAGGAAACGAGATAGACACATGGTTCCTTTTGAGAATATGCATATAATCACTTTCTGACTTGGTTTATGAATGTCCGTCCGTTAGTCTGTATGTCTGTCCATGTTAAATTGTAAACAAAGTACAGGTCGCATTTATAATCCGAATTGGCCCGAGGACGAACCCTATTGAAATTGGGAAAAATCGGTTCAGATTTAGATATAGCTCCCATATATATTTTCGTCCGATTTAATGTAAATGGTGTACCAAAGCCCCTATATATCTTCCGATTTGCACTAAATTTGGCATAGCGTACTGAATTGAGACTAGAATGATGTGTGTAAAATTTCTTGAAAATCGGTTCAGATTTAGATATAGCTTCCATATATATGTTCGACCGATTTAATGTAAATGGTGTACCAAATTCCCTATATATCCTTCGATTTGCACGGCGATGTGTGTTAAATTTCGTGAAAATCGGTTTAGATTTAGATATAGCTCTTATATATATTTTCGCCCGATTTAATGTAAATGGTGTACCAAAATCCCTATATATCTTTCGATTTGGACGAAATTTGACATAGCGAACTGAATTAAGTCTAAAATGATGTGTGTTAAGTTTCGTGAAAATCGGTTCAGATTTAGATATAGCTCCCATATATTTTCGCCCAATTTAATTTTAATTATTATTTTTGAACAAAATTTGGCATAACGTACTGAATTGAGTCTAGAATGATCTGTGTAAAATTTTCTGAAAATTGTCCGATTTTAAGACCCAAAGTTAGGCTGACCCAAATTTAGGCCGACCCAAATTAAGGTCGACCCAAATTTAGGCCAATTTCGCACAACGTACTAAAGTTTGTGTAACATAACATGTGTCAAGTTTTGATGAAACAGTTCGGATTTAGATATAACTCCTATATATATTCTCTTCCGATTTTAAATAAATGGAGCACCAAAGACTCAAAGTTAGTTAGCCAAACATTTGTCAAGTTTTGTTGGAATCCGTCTAGATTTAGATATAGCTCCCATATAGTTTCGTCCGATTTTAAGTAGGACACAAGGACCAACATAAATTTAGTCTAAATTAGTCTATAATCTAAGTCGATTCACATTTAGATAAGGGCACATATTTCAGTTAATGACCCTTCTGTTAGGATGCATTTTTTTAATATACCCATAGTGTTGAAGGGTATCATATAGTCGGCCCCGTCCGACTTTACTACTTTCCTTACTGGTTTTTTATTGTTGTTTTGTATTGATTAGTAAACACACGTTGCTAGAGTAACATCATGTAAAAGTTCTAAGTCCACTTTTTACTTTGAGGAATTTGGACACGATTTTAAGCCGAATTGACTGTAATTTGGTATTTTAGGTACTTAGGGTGTAGTACACCTTCCAACAAAAAATTATCCATATAACGTTATCCCCAATATTCGAAATTTTGGAAGTTTTTGTCAGGTTTTTTAAACGAATTTGCTGTAATTTTATATTTGGGACTCTAATTGGGTACAAAATCTCCTCACCAAAATTTGTCAATATTGGCCCAATTTTCGGAGTAGCCCCAATATTGGGTATTTTGGGATTTTTTGTACGTTTATCAATCGTATTGGTTCTAATTTGATATTCTGGGTTCTCATTGGGTGTCGAATCTTCCTACAAACAATTATCGATATCTGTTCGGTATTTTGCGATTTTTTGTACGTTTATCAATCGTATTGGTTCTAATTTGATATTCTGGGTTCTCATTGGGTGTCGAATCTTCCTACAAACAATTATCGATATCTGTCCGCGTATAACTCCCATATAGTATAGCCCCCATATAACTGTACTGCCAATTTTCGAAAAATTGCGGAATTCGGTATGTACAAGGTCCTAGCCCAAATTTTCAATGGCCTGTAGTTTGATATTTCATTTTCCTTTGGCAGTTATATATCATGGCATAACAACCATACAATGGTCCCGATCAATTTTAAGTATTTGACCGTGCACCTCATGATGGAGAGTATAAAAAGTTCGTCTCAGGCGAACTTAACGATGTTTTTACTTGTTTTTATTGATATTTTTGAATAAATTATGATTCCAGAACAATCTTTACCGTTTTAAATAAAATTAGCATGTAAAAATCAACAAAAGTTCACATTTATTGCAGTAATTAACAAATATAATAAGAGACAAATTGTAAGAAAAAGACCTAAGTCCATGAAAACAGAAAAACTTAGGAACAGAAAAGGCTCTAAGTCCCAAAAAAGTCGTGTATCTCCGCAAATACTTATTTTTTTCATTTTAATTTTACGCAAATAAAATACAATACAAGAACAAATTGCATTTATTAAAAAGGGACTTGTCTCCTTTACAAGTTATGCCAGCGATATGTTAATTCAACATTTTCGGTAGATTTATAAATAGAACATCGTATATTTGTCTTTTATAAAAGTTATGACCCGTAAAATTGGGCACATGCCTTGCAAATCACATAATAAATTGTATTGTCTCATGATAGCAATGCTATTGATATATCGATTGCGCTTATGGCGCTCTATGACCTGACCTGCATGTTCATAATTCGATTAATAATTTTGTCATTTATTGTTTTTATAATGAGGTGAATGGTTTGTCATCTAGACAAAAGAATATCGTGCGAACACACACAAACCAAGATTCATCTTCAGAGGTCAGCACAAGACTAAAGTAGAAAATATATCATAACAAAAAATATATATAAACAGCATGTGATTATTACCAGATATTAGTTACTCGATTGCTAACAAAGTTAATCACATATATACATATTTTTAAAATGGTAAGGATTCAAAGGACAATATCCTCCAACACAATGTTACATATAAATATATTTATTTTACAGAAATTCCTTATTGTATCCTTGGCTTTGATTGCTGCCGTTATGGCTGATGTCTCGGAATTGGGCAATTACGGTTATGAGGCTCCAGCTGCTACTGAAATTCAAGAAGATTATAGCTACAGCAGTCCAGTAACCACAAATGAGTATCTGCCTCCAGCTGCATCGGCTCCTGTCAACACCTATATTCCTCCAGCAGAATCGGCACCAGTAAACACGTACGTTCCACCAGCTGTCAGTGAACCTGTTAATACTTATATTCCACCAGCCGCCTCAGCCCCAGTCAACACTTATATTCCACCCGTAGCCGAAAGTGCACCAATTCCCACAGCTGAATTGGCTGAGGATGGTTATCGTTACAAAACTCATCGTCGTGTTGTCTATCGTCAACGTTTCTAGATGCTAATCGATTGTTAAATAGGCATTTTGTTTAAAAAGTGCGAGATTGTTAAATTTGTGTTATATTAATAAAATTGTTAAGATGTAAAATGTTGGTCGTTATTGTTACTTTCCAACGTATTAAAGATAAAAAATCCACGCTCCGCTATAGCTCGAAGGAATATTGGTTCAAATCAGCGCTATGATTCGGAGTCGGTGATGTCTCAGTCGAAAAAAAGTAAACACATATGCACATATTTTGATATTACTCCTAGGATGTTTGATATTGATCTATGTCTATCAAGTACACGCTTGAGCGTGATTTTCAGCTGAATGAATATGATCAGGCCTACTGATCTAGTGGATGGAGATAATAGGCGGTACAGTATTATTTCTCAATAGTGGGTTGATAGGCGGTGGACGACTAGCTGGACTGACAGGATGGGGTACGAAATTATTCGCAAATCAACGTTTGCACTGGAATGACTTTCGGTCTAATTACTGGTTTTCAACTGACGGGATATGGTTCGCTGAATGCAGTTCTATATAAAAGGAGTCTGTCCCAGAAGAATTTATGTGGGTGTGACATGAATTCTGTTGCTATTACATTCTGTTGCTATAACAAATTTAGGGCCGGGGCTATATTTCAGTAGGGTACGTGACGAGTATTGGTCCTTTAATTGTTTAAATAGTTTTGCTGATAAAACGTTTAGGAGAAGGTATTTGCTTTTCGTATGTAGACACTCTCACGAATGGGTTTAGACTAGACGCATCAATGGTGGCATATCTTGGGTCGTTTTTATACCCTTCACCACACTGTGGTACAGGGTATTATGTCTTTGTGCATATGCTTGTAACAGATAGATAGACACATGGTTCCTTTTGAGAATATTCATAGAATCACTTTCATATATATTTATGCATGTCCGATTTCCATGATATATTGTAAACAAAGTACAGGTCGCATTTATGATCCGAATTAGATGAAATTTGGCATAGGTCACTTAAATTAGCGTAACGTACTGAATTGAGCCTGTGTGTGCCAAGTTTAATGGAAATCGGTCCTCATATTTAGATATAGCTCCTATATATATCTTAGTCCTATTTTATGTAAATGGTGCACCAAAGTCCCTATATATCCTTCGATTTGCACGAAATTTGGCATAACGTACTGAATTGAGCCTAGAGTGATGTGTGTAAAATTTTCGTGAAAATCAGTTCCGATTTAGATATAGCTCCCATATATATTATAGATTGATTTAAAGTAATTGACGCACCAAGGAACCAATAGGCTGATTTGGAGAAATTTTGCATAGTATTTCTGCTCCTCACCAAAAGAAGAGAATTTTAGCTTGAAAAATAGTTTGGATTTCGATATAGCTTCCATATCTATTTTCATCCTATTTTAAGTAAATGGTGCACCAAACTCTTCATGTTTTTCATTATCACTTTGTAGCATCACCAAAGCGTGTAATATTTGGCACATAAATATTCAACGGGTGAGGGATTGATCCCATTGTAACAAACAATGACATGTTTATGAATTGGTCTAAGTCGGTTCACATATATAGATAAAGGTCATATATTTTGTTATCCAATTTCATGTATAATTTAACCTTTTTAATATAACAAGTGGTAAAGGGTACCATTACAGGTCCCCTAAAAAAAAAATCCGCCGTATTTTTAGTTTGAAGGTAGATGCATTTTGTGTTCTTAAAGGATGAAATCAATCTTTGCAGGAAATGTTCGATATATTCTTGATTGGACTGTGTATGGTAATTCAAGTTTTAATACATCAACCTTATAGTATAAAATCTGATGTCTTGTGAAAAATATATCAGAAAAAATTATGTCATAAAACATTTTCCTGTGTAATAAAACATTTTCCAGTGTAATAAAAAAATATCTGACTTTACTGATCCTTATTCTCATATTTCAAATTCAAAAATTTCCAAATACTAAAACTTTGCACTTTATTTGAAAGGTCATAGCAGATAACATTATGGCAAAATTGCAACATTCAGAGGATGCAATATTATTTCGATATCTGATTGATCAATAGCACACATTGACATGCTACACACAATTTTCAGATAAGTTAAGAAATTTTAATTTCAAAACATAATTTCTGTTAATTTTGTGTTAATTAATTTATGGCATTACCAATGACCATAACCATTGGCCGTTAAACATCGAAGTCACAACTATGGTATAAAAGTGAACTACAATGTGGTAACGATTATCATTGACATTTTAGCATTATTCCCGAAAAACATACAATTTCATTAAATATTAGCAATGGTAAGTGACATTTGACATTGATCATTTTGAATTGCATCTTAATTTGTATTTTCTTCGCATTAGAAAATCGTAATTTTGTTCCTGACTTCGGCAACTGCAATGCTTGCAGCTGGTTCTGAATTGGGTTATGATTATAATCCTCCAGCATTTGGATTCCCGGCTGGAGGTGGAGGTGGTGGTTTTGGTAACTCTTTTGGCAACGATGGTTTTGCTGGCAATGCATTCGGTGGTGGCTTTGGTGGTGTTCCTTCAAATACCTATATTCCACCTGCAGCCGTGTCCATTTCTGTTCCAGTAAGCACTTATCTACCTCCCGCGCCAGCTCCTGCACCAGCCTTCCAATCAATTCCAGTACCATCAAACACTTATATTCCTCCAGCTGTGGGTGGTTCCTTTGGTGGTGGTGGTGGTGCCATCAGTGCGACTGCATTCGTCACAGCCGATGTTGGTAATTCGTTGGTTCCGCCCGTTGCAGATTTTGGCATTGGCTTAGGCAACGATGGCTATCGTTACAAGACTATTCGCCGTCGTGTATATCGTAGACGTGTCTGAATATCACATACTAACGTTCACAGTCTGTACAATGTTTGTATTATATTATTTCAATAAATATCAGTATTTTTTTTCTAAATATATTCCAGTTTCACTCGCTTTTGTAGTTTATTATGTCACTTCAAAATTAAACACATGTCGTCTTCATTAGCCATATTTTGTCGAATGCTAATTTCTGTTTTTTATTTCGTTTCGTTTTCTTTCTTTTTTTTTTTGGTTTTATATTTGAATTGATGGTATTCGCCTAAACCGGTCTTATTTTCATTCTAGCAATATTCGCTAGATTCTTTCAAGTTCGATGGTCAAACATAACAACAAAAACGGTATTCATTCAATAAATGACAGTTAAGGTTATTTAAATGTTGTTAGATCTCTGAAGAAAAGTTTCAAATTAAAGATGAGTAGAAACAAAAGTGTGTCTTATTCAAAATTTTACTTTCATTAGTAATCTTAACACTAGGCAACAGTAGTGTGAGGGGGGATGAAGTTGTTGATACTTAAAGTTCATGATATATTTTGGATGATATATTTTCTATTTTAAATTTCCAGTTATACAGTTTTCCTATAGGTCGAACAAGTGTCCCATACATGCCACCTTTAGCGTGGGTAAACATCAACGTATAATACTCTCATAAAATATTTATGCAGGGTATAAAATCGGATTCTAAGCTTAAATATTTGAAGCATCAGACAAAAGCTCCAGAAATTCATAAATAAATGCTACAGGATCATATGCAGCCCTACACCCTAAGTAACGTAGAACTGTGGAATAGTATAAAGTCCAAATTATTTAAATGGCTTCGTATTCGAAATGAATGAATTGTATTGATTAAATTATTTTTGATTCTTGTAAAAAATAACCCAGAGAACTTCGTCGATATTGCATTTGCTTTTCTTGATATTGAACTTTTATTCTTCAGAAATAAGGCACTGTATCTCCCGAATGTAAGGATTAGGGGCTCAAAGGGTTAAGGAAAAATGTCCTTAGCGTAAATAGAATGGCTATTATGCAAAACCCTCAAATTTCCACAAAGATGCTTGCGAGGGATTTCGAGGAAGAGTGTGGTGTTACAGTTTGTGACGAAACAGTTCGACGGACTATATTAAAAACCAGTGAGCGGTGCAGTATAGTCGGATGGGGCCGACCATATGATACCCTACACAACTACCACGAAAATCAAATTTTCTGCGGTTCTATATTCTGAGCCTGGACAATATTTCGAGATATTTGCACCCTTTTTACCGATTATAGATCAATAATTTCACTTTCTAACCCTGGCATAGTTTCCAATTGTTTTTTCTTGAAGTAAATTTTTACGCCGTAAAATAAAAAAAAAATGTTCACTTTAGGTTTGCTTTGATTTGACCCTCGGAATATTGACCGATCATCATCTAAACAACCGCTCTAAGTATTTGGTCAAATCCACTTCACCTTGAAACATATGTGATGTTCTGCAAATAATAATTGCCTCTAGAGCGACTCGAAAATCTGACAAAATTAAAGTTTTCCGTTCATTGCACCCCCTGAATGAAATCTCAACTTCAACGAAAACTATAGGCGTCGTCCCTGACCATAATCGGAAGTTCATGTACAATTTCAAAGCGTTCAGCGCGACATATCCGTCCTCTAATGAAGTAATAGTAATACTATGCACATAGCCACTTTTACCTAATTACCTATAACTCCTACATCAGAGTACATACAGCCATATAATTGGTATCAATTTGAAGGTCAACAACTTCTCTCGGATATATCACCAACTTCTAGGGTATATGTCCTTCAGAAGCAAGTATATACGCCCCAGAATAAAAATTTTGTAATTTTTCACACAAAAGTCAGGGTCCATTTGACCCGCTAAATATTGAACGATCTTTATCAAAAAAAGAAAAACCGACAAAAATTAAGTATTTGATCCATTTCATCCCTTAAATATTAACCGATCTTTACCAAAAACAATAGGGGTCTTCATTGGCCAGAACCTATCCTCCATGCAAAATTTGGTGAAGATTGGTCCATAACTGTGGCCTGTATTGTGTTTACAAATTATAATGGACAAACGGACGGACGGACACACATGTCTAGACCGACTCAGCTAGTCGAGATATGACGATCGGTATTCTTAAAGGTTGGTCTAGGACCAATATTTCGCGGCGTTACAAACTCTTGGGGCTGCACAAAGCTATAATACCCTGACAACATAGTTGTGTAGGGTATAAAAACAATTACTAATCAAGAGCCCCAATCCTACACCCCGACAGTGATTCTAAACCCAAGCTTCATGATTTCAACTCCATAGGTTCACCCACAATTCAAATTGTACCAAATTTAGTTCCAAAACCCCAATCCTACACCTCCACAGTGATCGTAAATCAAAAGTTAATGATTTTAACTCTATCGCTTCACCCACAATTTAAATTGTATCAAATTTTGTACACATTAGTACAATTTTCTAAAACTTCGTACACATTTCAATATTACACCCCAACAGTGATCCTGACTCCAAAATTCATGATTCTAGCTCTATTGATTCACCTAAAATAAAAATGTACCAAATTTAGTACCATTTAGTATTAATTTGTTAAACTGAATCCTGACCCTAATCCTACATCCCTACAATGATCCTAACTCCAAACTTCATTGTTCCAGCTCTATCGGTTTACCCAAACCCAAATTGTGCCAATTATAGTACGATTTAGTACTTTTCGTACACATAAGTAAAAAATTTCCAAAACTCCAATCCTACACTCCGACTCCAGTAATGTTACTTTCAATTTTCAGGATTCCAGCTCGATTTGTACCTCCAAATCAAATTTGTACCAAATATAGTACCATATAGTACTTTTCGTACACATGATTACACGATTTCCAAACTCTCCTCATATCGACCCTAATTCTCAACCATAATTTGCATTTCAAATTTCAAGTTTTTAGCTCAATCCATTCATATGCTACGAAATTGTACCAAATTTAGTACATTTCAGTACTTTTCGGATACAAAAAGTGTTATGCTACATCTATTCAACACTGCATCAGTGACCCTCAATCAAAATATCAGAGTTCTAGCTCTACCTTATCTGTCACCTTTGGACCAAGAGTGAAACTTACCTAAAATTTCAAGATTCTAGCTTCAGCCGTTTCGTCTGGGCGTTGATGAATCGTTAAATCAGTCAGTTAGTCAATCACTTTACTCATTTATTAGTATAGATTAAATTTGTACCAAATATAGTATCATATAGTACTTTTCGTACACATGAGTACACGCTTTCAAAACCATCTCCTTAAATAGACTCTACATCTCAACCCTAATTCGCATTCCAAATTTCAAGTTTTTAGCTCTATCCATTCACATGCTACGAATTTGTACCAAATTATGTACATTTTAGTACTTTTCGGATATTTATAGTTCGAATAACCAAAAACCCTTTGCTACACCTATTCTACACTCCATCAGCGACCACCAATCCAAATTTCAGAGTTCTAGCTCTACCGGTTTGCCAAATACAAATGGTATCACATTTAGTACTTTTCGTACCGTTCTAGTACAAATTTCCAAAAACCCAGCCTTATCTGTCACATTTGGACCAAGAGTGACCCTCACCCAAAACTTCAAGATTCTAGCTGCAGCCGTTTCGTCTGGGAGTTAATGAATCGTTAAATCAGTCAGTCAATCACTTTACTCTTTTATTAGTATAGATTAGTATAGGTAAACCGGATTGGAATAAGTAATACGCCTATATTAATAATACCTTAGCTAACTGTAAAGGTGGTCGTATTATCTTCGAATTTGTTTTCGTTCCCTTTTTATTTACATTTTAATTTGTTATAAACAAAATATTTTGTTTTATAATTTTGACAATATAAGTCAAACGGAATTGCTCTTTCCTATTCGAACACAAAAAATTCCCACAGTCACACTGATATAATCTCCTAATTTATTTTATCTTCACCTCTTAGGTTTTAACACAATTGACACTAATTTTTGTTGTTTGCGAATTCAAGGTTTGTTGCCGTTATAACTTGATTTATATGTTGTGCATATATTTGTTATTTTTGGCTAAAAATGTTTTCATTTGTTTGTTTGGTTTCACTTTTATATTTATTTTTGGTATTTATACCCTACACAACTATGTTGTCAGGGTATTATAGCGTTGTGCAGCCCCAAGAGTTTGTAACGCCGCGAAATATTGGTCCTAGACCCACCTTTGAGTATACCGATCGTCATATCTCGACTAGCTGAGTCGATGTAGACATGTGTGTCCGTCCGTCCGTCCGTCTGTCCATTATAATTTGTAAACACGATACAGGTCACAGTTATGGGCCAATCTTCACCAAATTTTGCATGGAGGATAGGTTCGGCCCAATGAAGACCCCTATTGTTTTTGGTAAAGATCGGTTAATATTTAGGGGATGAAATGGACCAAATACTTAATTTTTGTTGTTTTTTCTGGTCGCTCCAGAGGCCGCAGTCATGGTCCGAACATCGTGAAATTTTACATGGAGAAGAGGATCGTTTTGATAAAGATCGGTCAATATTTAGCGGGTCAAATGAACCCTGACTTTTGTGTGAAAAATTACAAAATTTTTATTCTGGGGCGTATATACTTACTCCTGAAGGACATAGAGCCGAAAAGTTGATAGTATATCCAAGAGGAGTTGTTGACTTCAAATTGATACCAAACTTATGGCTGCATGTACTCTGATGTGGAAGTTATACGTAATTAGGTAAAGGTGACTATATGCAATATAGTATTACTATTACTTCATTAGAGGACGGATATGTCGCGCTGAACGCTTTGAAATTGTACATGAACTTCCGATCCGACGCCTATAGTTTTCGGTGAAGTTGAGATTTCATTCAGGGGGTGCAATGAACTGAAAACTTTAATTTTGTCAGATTTTCTAGTCGCTCTAGAGGCAATTATTATTTGCAGAACATCACATATTTTTCAAGGTGAAGTGGATCTGACCAAATACTTAGAGCGTCTGTTTAGATGATGATCGGTCAATATTGCGAGGGTCAAATCAAAGCAAACCTAAAGTGAACATTTTTTTATTTTACGGCGTAAAAATTCACTTCAAGAAAAAAATTGGAAAATATGCCAGGGTTAGAAAGTTAAGTTATTGATCTATAATCGGTAAAAAGGGTGCAAATATCTCGAAATATTGTCCAGGCTCAGAATATAGAACCGCAAAAAATTTGATTTTCGTGGTAGTTGTGTAGGGTATCATATGGTCGGTCCTGTCCGACTATACTGCACCACTCACTGGTTTTATTTGTTTATTTATATTAATAGTATTTGGATTATATATAAAAAATATATATTAAAACTGGGTGGAGCTGCAGTAACTGTATACCTTTTTATCAACATTTATGACTTAAAAGAGGGTGCATTTTTTCAGAAAAAAAATTTCAATTTTTTTTAAACAAATATCTTTTTTAATATTTTGTAGGACATAAATAATGTAAGGTTTTAAAAAATAACGAAGTATTGACTTTTTATAAATTGTTTTCAGGGCTTGTCTTAACGTGATTTTTGTAATAATTTTCAAAATTATTTTTAAAATATATTATTCATATTTATGCCTCTAATATTTTGTTGAACAGAAAATTCCATGAATTAAATATGTGTAAATAACATTCGAGACCAGTCAATAGTCCATATAAATTGGACAATTTTATATTTAGTTAAAATTTCGAAAATTATTTATAGACATGTTCCGACAACTAGATTCTGCACAATCAAAACAAAAATATGCCAATGAGTTTATGTTGAAAAGAATAGATAAATATCTCTAAAAGAAATTTGGGAATAATTTTCAACTGCTTATTCCAAATTAAAAATAGATATCATATAAAACAAATATGGATATGATTGCCATGATCAGAAATAATTTCACGTTAATTGGGAACGGAGGCAAAAGAAATGGTAAGTTGGAGAAAAGTAATTTTGGAGTAACATTTTCATTTCAATGTGGTTTTATTTTATTTTTAGAAAATTTTCTTCTTGACCATATTTTTGTCAGTTGCCCTTGTGGCTGCTGATGTTTCCGAACTGGGTTATAGTTATGAAGATAATTCTGAGGGCTATAATTATACACCACCCAGTGAGGATGTCAAGATTTCACAACCAAACCCGCAGAATACTTATAACCCACCAAACGATGAAGTTGAAAATTTGTCAACTGAAGTTGAGGCAGAAAATCCAAATGATATTATGTCTGATGAAGAAACGGAAACACCAGTATCACCATCTGAGGTCTACCTTCCAGTAGAACATACACAATTTAATAGTGAAACCCCGTCTGAGAATGCAGAAGTGAAACCTGAAACACCAGCTGAGATCTACCTTCCAGTTCAGCACACACAGTTTACACAACAAAAGACATCTGTAGAATATACTCCTCCAGCAACCATTAAAACTGAAACAAAGTATCTTCCACCTACTAAAGAACCTTCCAAGACATATATACCCCCAGTTACAACTGAACCAATCAAAACTTACAATATCCAAACAATTAAAAATTATAATCCGCCAGCTAAAACATATATTCCTCCGATAACTACTAAAACTCAGCAGGTTCATGTGGAATCCTTTAGAACCCAAATTCCCACCATTACAACTAAAACCCAGCAGTTTAACTTGGAATCAGTTAAATCTCACATTCCTTCCAGTAAAACAAACATTCAGCAAGTTAATACATATACGACTCACGCTCAGGTTGAGCCAATGCAAATACATTTTACTCCAATCAAATCTAATTTTGAAACCGTAAAAGTGGAACAAGTTAAAAGCTATAGTTCTTCCGGAAAACCCGAGCAAGCTAGGACATATATTCCTCCAGGAAGAGTGGAAACAATTAGAACATACAGTTCTCCAATAAAAACTAATTTTGGATCAATTAAAACCATTAACCATCCAACAAACATTCAGACTGTCAACACCTACACACATAAAACCAACACCTTTACCACATCCCAGAAGCCTATTGGATCACACGTTTCTACCGTTCAACCAGTTAAATCCAGTTATGAGATTATACCAGCCAAAGTGGTATCGGTAAAGACCAATATTGTTCCCATCATCAAATCACCTCCAGCTTTCAACTATAAACCCAATCCAGTACCGATCTACAAACCCAAACCATTTGTGGTCTATAAGGCACCACCGAGACCTATCATTGAATATATACCACCTAAACCAATTATATCTAATACATATTACCAACACCAACAAGTTACGTCTCAACCACAAACATTTGCACATAGAAAGCAGACGACAACAACAACAACTCATGTTAGTAAGAGTTTTACTCCAACAACAAATGTCCAGCAACGGATATATCTTCCTCCGCAATCGGTAGCCAGTAAGACATATATTCCACCACCACCTCCTACTCAATATAAATCTGGATCCGTTTCATTTAATATCCAAAACCCAGCTCCGGTTCGTTCTGTTGTACAGACCCCGAAACCTGTCCACACCTATATTCCTCCCCAGCAATCCACCACCCATATCCATACACAGTCTGTTGTGCATGGTAATGGTCAATTAACCGGTAATGGTTATCATTATTGAGAGATTCTGAATATTTGATAAAAAAAAATTATTTATAAGATTAATAAAGTATATAATATATGCTTTATGGCGTGTATTTTAAAATAATATTTTTTGAAGCTTATCAAGGCGTGGATTCTTTTAAGAATACTTTTTCAAGGCGTAGATTTTTTAAGGAATATTTTTTCAAGGCTTATCAAGGCGTAGATTTTTTAAAGAATTTTTTTTTCAAGGCTTATCAAGGCGTGGATTTTTTAAAGAATATTTTTCCAAAGGCTTATTAAGGCGTGGATTTTTTAAAGAATATTTTTTCAAGGCTTATCAAGGCGTATATTTTTTAAAGATTATTTTTTCAAGGCTTATCAAGGCGTAGATTTTTTAAAGAATCTTTTTTCAAGGCTTATCAAGGCGTAGATTTTTTAAGGAATCTTTTTTCAAGGTTTATCAAGGCGTAGATTTTTTAAAGAACATTTTTTCAAGGCTTATCAAGGCGTAGATTTTTTAAAGAATATTTTTTCAAGGCGTAGATTTTTTAAAGAATATTTTTTCAAGGCGTAGATTTTTTAAAGAATATTTTTTCAAGGCGTAGATTTTTTTAAAGAATATTTTTTCAAGGCGTAGATTTTTTAAAGAATATTTTTTCAAGGCGTAGATTTTTTAAAGAATATTTTTTCAAGGCGTAGATTTTTTAAAGAATATTTTTTCAAGGCGTAGATTTTTTAAAGAATATTTTTTCAAGGCGTAGATTTTTTAAAGAATATTTTTTCAAGGCGTAGATTTTTTAAAGAATATTTTTTCAATATTTTTTTTCAAGGCGTAGATTTTTTAAAGAATATTTTTTTTTCAAGGCGTAGATTTTTTTAAGATTATTTTTCAAGGCGTAGATTTTTTAAAGAATATTTTTTTTCAAGGCGTAGATTTTTTAAAGAATATTTTTCAAGGCGTAGATTTTTTAAAGAATATTTTTTCAAGGCGTAGATTTTTTAAAGAATATTTTTTCAAGGCGTAGATTTTTTAAAGAATATTTTTTCAAGGCGTAGATTTTTTAAAGAATATTTTTTCAAGGCGTAGATTTTTTAAAGAATATTTTTTCAAGGCGTAGATTTTTTAAAGAATATTTTTTCAAGGCGTAGATTTTTTAAAGAATATTTTTTCAAGGCGTAGATTTTTTAAAGAATATTTTTTCAAGGCGTAGATTTTTTAAAGAATATTTTTTCAAGGCGTAGATTTTTTAAAGAATATTTTTTCAAGGCGTAGATTTTTTAAAGAATATTTTTTCAAGGCGTAGATTTTTTACAGAATATTTTTTCAAGGCGTAGATTTTTTAAAGAATATTTTTTCAAGGCGTAGATTTTTTAAAGAATATTTTTTCAAGGCGTAGATTTTTTAAAGAATATTTTTTCAAGGCGTAGATTTTTTAAAGAATATTTTTTCAAGGCGTAGATTTTTTAAAGAATATTTTTTCAAGGCGTAGATTTTTTAAAGAATATTTTTTCAAGCCGTAGATTTTTTAAAGAATATTTTTTCAAGGCGTAGATTTTTTAAAGAATATTTTTTCAAGGCGTAGATTTTTTAAAGAATATTTTTTCAAGGCGTAGATTTTTTAAAGAATATTTTTTCAAGGCGTAGAATCATTTTTCAAGGCGTAGATTCTTTAAAGAATATTTTTTCAAGGACCATAAGGCGTTGTTTCTTTAATGAATATATTTCAAGGACTAAAATTTTTCAAGGCGTAGATTCTTTAAAGAATATTTTTTCAAGGCGTAGATTTGTTAAAGAATATTTTTTCAAGGCGTAGATTCTTTAAAGAATATTTTTTCAAGGCGTAGATTTTTTAAAGAATTTTTTTAAGGCGTAGATTTTTTAAAGAATATTTTCTCAATGCGTAGATTTTTTAAAGAATGTAACGAGGTACGTTGTTTTCTCCCTTGGAATTCTTTAGTGGGCGCCAATTGCAGATAGTTTTAGCCTTCCGGATTTAAACGCGAATGTTTTACAAAAGAACGATTATTTATTTAACAAACAAAGTAACAACGTAGACGGGAACAATCTATGAAAACAGAATGAATAGAATATATGTAATGATATTAGGATAAAAGGCAACGGCGACCATCGTCACCACGTTTACACATTTATCTTCATATCAAAACATTTTCCAATAATCGAAAGAGGGAAACAATAGGAAACGGCTGCGAATAGCTACCACGTGTTCCAATTGCTCCACTATTCAAATTATTGAACTATCCTATCCAACCTATGAAAACAGAATGAATATTGTTCGTTATGGAAGCTCCTTATATAGGACTTTTCAAAAACAAATGTGACAAAATTTACAACGAACAATATTTTACAAAAGGTTCTGTTTCCAATAAATTACAAAATTATTTAAAGTAGTTTTGAGCAAAGTAAAAAGTAATAAAATATTTGTGATATTGTAAAAACGCTACTGCTACATACTCCCCCTTTGACGTGTAAAACCTCGCCTCGAGTCACACGTCAACACTAGGCGGCTTGATAAGATGACTTCTTTGGTCTTCCTCTTTTCCGCAACGGATACTTAGGTGTTGGTAACTGATCACTATTCGCACCTTTGTATAGAGTTAATGCTGATGAGTGGAAAGTGCCCAAAGGAATGTTTAAATTTTCTGGTGATGAGACTTCAAAGGACGTGGAACCAATTTTCCGCGTAATAACATATGGGCCATCCCTCTTAGGAACAAACTTTGATGTGACACCTTTCGCAGAATTACTTAATACATGTGTATTAACAAGGACTTTTGTTCCAACATCAAAATTTTCATGTGGGCGTCTCCGTTTGTCCACATATATCTTGTTTTTATCCTGCGCCTTCATTTCTAATTCTTTAGCATTTCCCAAAAAGTTTACCATGGTCTTGAGGTATTTTGATAATTCATTAATAACATTCTCTGTTTCAACAATAGACTTGACATCG